AGGTTTGAGATTGGCTAACCGGCAGATCAGGCATCTAGCCAGAGGGTTCTCTACGATCTACCCTCATCACCGACTCTTGTTTTCAATCTACGCTTTACAAGTTACACGCTGACGATGGTGAACGTCTGTAACAGGGGTCGGAGCCATCGAGAATCGACGTACGAAGCGCAAACCTTGATTATTCCTCTGGTTACTTTACCGAGTTTCCCAATCACTTACGAGCCCGGATAACCCGTTCACGGCTGAACAAACCTCCCCCATATCGTCCTAATGTAACTCGTACGTCTCCTCGAGAACACGGTCCAGTCGATCGAATGAATTTTTTATATTACTTTTGAAAAATTTTTCATTGGAATTTTATTTTAAGAAAACACCCCACCGACACGATACTGACATGATCGCGTGTACTTTTTCATTCCCTTCGCCAGTCGCGTCGATGTTTACCAGAGCCCGACAGTTTTAATGAATTAATTTAACCGGACAATGACAGCCATGGGAAATAACCGTACGCTGTGCGACGCGATACGAACGCGAACGTTTTCGATGCTGGCAGCTGGATCGAGCCCAGCGACGGCACGTTGTCACGATCCTCGGTGGGAAAAGCGGGAAACGGAAAAGTTTGGAAAAATATGAGGGACGAGGAAGGACGGCTTTAACGAGGCGCGTAGCTAATCGCCGATGGCGCCTCGTTGTCCAATTCTCGGTTATTACCGTAGGCAGAAACGAGCGTTGCAACGGGGTGATACATCAAACGTAATTTACCGTCGTGTATTATGCACCGGCCGTGACGTTAATGGTTGTCGCAGCGGTGAAGTTAATTAAATTTTATTACAAATAATATTGCGCGATATTACACAGATACACGACAGATATTTCAGTTGACGATGAACCGCCAGGAATTCGCGGTAACGGCCAAGATGAAATATAAAATTGACCGCAGACAAGTACATTGGCACTTGCGTGTAATAAATTAGACAAGTATTTCGTGCAATTAATTCCTTGCTTTTTACGTGCCTCTATGAGCTATTCACTTGTAGAACAGATTTTTCAATTTTTATTGTTGACGCTATGTAATTTTGTGATTTTATTTATCGGACGGTTCGATAATAAAGATATCATTTCAAGAATGAATAGAAACTTGTGTGGGCCCCCGACGCTCTGGGCCTTTCCCGTGATGGACCGCTTGCGAGAAAGGATGGAGTTACACGCGCGACACCTTACGGCCATCACAGGATAGGCCCAGGGCGCCGGGGGCGCCGGGAACGCCACGCTCCGCTCTCAATCCCCCACACTTGGAAGGATAGCAGAGGAATGGTAGAGGATCCAAATTACGACACAAAGCTCGAGGCACAATCAGGTTCGCGGTAATCCTCGCGCCTTCGAGAACTTCGGTACAATCGTACAAGCCAATTATATATCCGATGTGTCTTGCATTTCTGCCGCTGTAAACTGCTGTGTTTCTGTATTCACCGCCAGAAGCTACGCAAGAGGAACAATTATTCGATAAGCTTTTCTTTATCATTTTTTAATTTCTAAAATACCGTAGGATTACTCACTATTCTTTGCTCGAAAGAAAATATATTATCGCAATCGCACTGTTATGGTGTTCAAACGATCAAACTTTAATGCGACGAATGCTGTAATAGATTATTTCAAAAAAACAAATATCTAGATTCTATGAAATAGTACAGGAAAGCAACATCAATGAATCTATATTCAACGACGGTAAAGTTTCATGAAAAACGAACCGAAGGAAATGACCACTGATTGCTCGTTCGGTTCTCCTCCAATTACGAAGCTTTTCAGCCAGGCGCAATCATGCCGCCGCGAGTACCGTATTTTCGTTCGTGTTCACCGCGGAATTACACTTTCCAGCCGGCGCAATGGTGGAAAAAAGGAACGAAGGGGTGGAAAAAGAGGGTGTTAGGAGACGTATCTGGTCGATCTTGCCGTTTCCGGCGCGAATCTGCCGGCCGACTTTTTACCGCCGATAAATCGACGTCGAGCGAAGCGTGGAAATTGCATACGACACGCTGCCCCTGTCCCTGGCGTGTAGTAATCACGCTGGAAACCTTGGACAACGTAGGTGTTCGATGAAAATGGTGGAGGAGAAACAGGATCGAGGATAAGGGGACGAAGAGGGACGGACGAAATAGATGAAGCAAGTAGGAAAGGGAGAAACAGGAAGCGGAGGACGCGAGGAACGGATAGGGGTGGAGAAAAAAGGAAGAAGGAAGAGACGGCGCGGTGAGGAAGTAAGTGGCGGTGGCTTGGACGGCAGCTCGAAGAATTCTTTCAGGATGGGGCTCGTTAGTCCTTTCAAGGCAGACTTACGGTTACCAGGCTCCGTCCCACCTCGGTCACACATCATGGCTCGGAAAGGAAACGAACCAGCCCAACGTAAAGCGTTCTCGCTTCCTTCCGTCTGAATCTTCTTGGCAATCTCTTCGTCGTCGAGCTCTCGCTTCGAGCTATTGGAAAATTTCTAACGATCCTACCTCTTCTTCTGCTTCATCGAGCTTCCTTACAACCGTGATACCGATAACGGTACCATCCTGTTCAGCTTTAATTGTCTCATCTTAACACTTCATAGAATCAACGATTCTTAATGCTTCACATTTCTTATTACTCCTTATAGAGAAGTTATTACGTTGGCAAGTTTTTCTCAAAACTTTCAGATCGAACATCCGCATATCAATCTTCCTCGGGAATCAAGAACCACTTGAAAAAATGAATTCCTTCATCACGAAAGTGGAATCTACTTTAGAAATGGTGATCGTACAAGTTGGACAGAAGTTTCGGCCGGAAAACTCGGCCTGTCCCGACGCCCCGCCACCTCCGTTTCGCGACATATTCAATCAGGATATCGAGTCTGTCGAGTTTGCCCGCGACGAAGCTCGTATCCGGACAAGCATCTGCTTCTCGACGAGGCGGAAGTTGAAAGCGTGCACAAGGACCGGCGCAGGCTGCGAAGGACACGTATCTTACGCGAGATCGACGAAAACCCGGTGAAGAAGGGTGCCGGAAGGTCGAAACGGGTGGGACAGGATTGAACCAGCAGAGATTTGATTTATATGTTAATCGGTGGTAGTCGGCAAGTGCGCAGTCTGCCGTGGTACTCTTTCGTCGCGACGCCTCGTAACAATCCTCGAAATATGGCGTATAAGTAGACAGGGTGCCGTCTGGACCGCATATTGGTGGATGTTACAGAACACCGGTTCTCTCATGATTTTGTTGAGAATAAAAATTTTATTAATTCTTATCTCGTTGTCAGCAAAACTTGTAACTTTTCAAATAAAGATTTATAATTTAGGTGTTCAGAGAATTTTTGTAGTAGTCCACGTGTTTTTCATCGAGAAATAAACACAGAGGATGAAATAATTCCAAAAAACATTTCCATTAGAAAAGTTCAATTCACGAATGTGGGTTACGAAAAAAGTACTAGCGGATTATCCGTTCGAGAAGTTGGTTCCCCGGTTCGAAAACTAATTAATTAAACGAATCAGCTATGTCGATGGAATTTCTGCCGCGAAAGCTATGGGACTCCCACGATTCTTCGATCCATCGTCTTCGAATATCCTCTTCGCGGATCGAAAGTTGTGCAGCGTGAAAATTAATCGTCCTTCGGGAAGGAATTCAAATAAGACATGAAAAAATGACTACTGTCATCCGCAATACGAATTCCTTTTGGTTGGAACGACGATATAGATAATAATCAGTCAATGCATTCTAATCTCTTCTACAATTGCAAAAATACAAACAGAAATCTTATTTGTTCCAATTACCCTAAATAACATTTTTCTCTTAACTTGACCTATTCTTTATGTATACAATCAATCAACGATAGTTTGTCTTGATAATGGGGAATTTCGATAGATAAGCGAAAACAAAGTATATAAAAATACGATACCTTAATCTCTACTGCTATTTTTGTATTTCTATCACAATATATCACGAGATAATTAAATTTTACGAAATGCAACGATCGAATCATGCTGTGAAAATGAAATAAACATCAATCATTTTCAACGTTTCAGTAGCTGGAAAAGATAAAATGGAATTATGATAGGAAGACACTTTACAGAAAAACAACGTGTATTCCGTGTTTACCAGACATCTGCTTATTACCGTAATTTTCATTGGTAAATACGTTACATTTTGTTTCAAAATAAGAGAAAATGATTAATAAAAAGCATGAGTAATTTCGATTCGTCGCAATCACGATAGGAGTTTAATGACAAAGCGAACAAAGCCCGGGAGACAGATTACACAATTGGCTTTTGGAATTGTCGTTAACTAATGTCTATTGTCGGTATTTCGCTTTATCCTATCCAATCGTAGGGTTGCACCATAGCGGACGCTGCAGGATATTTAATCGCAGGACAATCGCCAGCGATCCATATATTTGCTGGCAAAATGTGTAAATCAACATGTGCAATTAGCCATCAAATCCTAACCACCGATCGCAAACCGGCAAATCGGTCCCTGGTTGCTAATAATCGAACAACAGCGGTTGGAGTGTGAATTAGAATTTTGCTCAAGATGCTTGACACTCGACAAAATTTATAGACGATAAACATTTTTATGAATCACTAGAAATTGAATAAATCTTCCATCGATAGACATATTTTTCTTGAAATTCAAATTGAAACTAACATTCGATCTCTTTATACCGGTATAAGAGAAGCTTAAGGTTGCCATGAAAGAAGGTTCGAGCAATCTGTTGCAGAAGCTCGTTACCAGATCGAGGTCCATTGTGAAGAGGAAACGGCCGAGAACGAGTAAGGTCATTGAAAATCCCTTATCGAGCAAAGTGCACGCTCATTCAAAATCTTATCGCGCCTCTCGCGTACTACGACGTGATTTTTATCTCGCTATATTGTTAGAATCGCGTCTGCGAAAAAGCGCAGCTATTCTTCTCCTACGCTATCCGCCCACACCACCCCCTCTACATGCACATCCTTGGTAACTACGATATTACGAATGCTTGCACCACGTGCTACTTGCGCAAAGCACGCTGCACTGTCGTCAGATAAGGATTTTTCCGCTGAATCAGAGGAGCAAGTTTCCAGTATAAAAGCGGTGCACGGCGCACAATCTTTGATATTGCACTAAGATGTTACGAGTCGTTGTGCTGAGTGTTTTTATTATTGGATGCTTCGGTGAGTGCTAAGAAAAGAGAGTACACGGGGCTCGTTACTTTAATTTTCTTTCGCTATATCGTTCAAAAATATCCTGGATAAATAATTTCATTCGCTGTTTTTATCGCGAAACAGTACTGCACCTTTTAACTTGATTGAAAAGAAAAATATTTTAGTAGGAATTAATGTAAATTTGATTACCGTTATAGGCACCGCCTTGAGGGGATACCCTCCACTTCCGGATACCCATATCGTCGGAGGAGTCGAGGCTGACATACGTCAGCATCCGTACCAACTAAGCCTGCAAACCAGCGGGCACGTTTGCGGTGCCTCGATCATCAGCAGCGAATGGGCTGTCACTGCTGCTCATTGCGTCGGGTAATAACACAAATACGCTAAGTTAACAACAGAGTACGCTCCTGCTAAGCAGATGTAAACATCACCCCTGTTGCCTGTTATATTGACATTTCAGATTGATGCGCGATAATTTTGCTTTCACTTGCTTTGATATGCTTTAATTCCCTTTATATTCTTATATTATATCATTAATTTAAAATTAAAATCAATTTTAAATGCTATATCCTTTAAGAAAAGTCGAGGGTGGATTAGCCCGATACGAACCCTGAACATTTGGATTCGATTTCCATTGTCCCTGGTCACTATTTTTCATAAATTCCCAGAAATCGACTTTGATTTCAACCTAATCTTGAACGCCCACAATTTGATTATTTATATAATAATTTCCAAGTCCAACAAAGCTTTAAAAAATAAATTCTCCTCTTCATCCATACGTTGCATATAACAACACTTTCGCTATCTCTTTTCGAACGATTCAATTAGCGTGAGATAGCATATCGTGACACCGTCGCATCAGGGGATGATCCATAGCATTTTCGCGCCTGGCAGCGTTTGCTGGCCGATCACGATAATAATTACGAAAGCTATCGCGATATTAAATCGGCTTTGCAGCTCGAATTCCAACACGATTACCGGTTACCTATTATACAATAACAATAAGGCCATCAAATACCATGCTCATATTTTGGCGAACAAACAGCCGCCAGTTTAACCGAGGCGGAACGAGCAACGTGCACAGCTGCACAGATAGCTGGAATCGTTGGCATTTTCATATGTTTCATCAATTACAGATCAGTTGCCAGCCGTTACAGTCTTCGAGCTGGTAACAGTAATAAAAATCTTGGAACTCGTTACCTCATTGACACCATAGTGATACATCCCAACTACGACCGAACAATTATCGACCACGACGTTGCGCTCTTGAAGGTATGTGTCCTACAAAAGAAATTATATTATTAATTCATTGAAAAGAAGAAAAATTATAAAAATTCTATTTCAGGTCAGTGGTGGGTTCAGCTTCGGTCCAACTGTACAACCTATCAAGTTAGCGGACGAGGAGGTTCCGGCTGATACCATGGTGAACGTAACTGGCTGGGGTGCACTCAGAGTAAGTTAATGCAACATTAAATTCAGTGTAAATTAAAAATAAATGATGTGTAATAAAAAAATACACCAGCTATTGTAGGAGAGGGGAGAAAAAGGCGGGGTCGTCGGGGGCGACCGCTTGTGAGAACACTGTCACCGATCATCTCGCCGCCACCCAGCGGTCCCCGGCCCGAACTAAAGGTGTCCGGGGAGACGAAACCCTTTCTCCCTCTCCACTAAACGCCTACACTATCGAGGTTTTTTGAAAATAGCTATGGAACGATCACGGTGTAAATTTATGTTACAGCAAGGTGGAATGACATCGTCGCAACTCATGAGGGTATCTATCCCCATAGTAAGCAGAACAAAGTGCGAGGAAGCTTATCAGGGACTGAATGCCATAACCAGCCGTATGATATGCGCTGGCTACACCGAAGGTGGAAAGGACTCTTGTCAAGGTGACTCCGGAGGACCGTTAACAGCCAGCGAAACCCTTTACGGTATCGTGTCCTGGGGCTACGGATGCGCTAAACCAGAATACCCAGGTGTTTACACAAACGTAGCTAATTTACGCTCTTGGATTAAGGAAATTAGTGGAGTGTAATGCAGTAAAGTGGAAAATGTAATCGCTATTTTAATGTATGTACGAAATCAGCGACGTAATTAAAATGTTAATATATATGTACAAATAAAATCATTGATATTTTGTAAATTTACAATTCGTTTACTTATTTTCGATTTACAAGCTAGCAGGCAAATCAATATCATACTCCATGATATTCGTTATAACATTACATTATAATGTTTCAATCTCTAATTATAATTATCTCAATGATACCTGATCCACTGTATATCCATTTGTTAGTAGTAGTACATCGTTTTGTTTCTAGATTATAGAGTAATAACTGTGGGACACAAAAAGCGAATCCGATACCGACTTTCGTCGACAGTTTGACGGATGAAATAGTTTGTTTAACCGCGAAATGCTTTTTACGTTTGGCCACCTTTGATCCTGAAAACACCGCGAACTTTCTCCGATAGTTTATTCAGTTGGACAGTTCGATCAAGATCGCTGTTATGCTGAAACTCTGGCTTTGAAACGCTTTGAAACGCTCTTCTGCTTTGGTTTTTTATCTTCCATGTATCGTCATCATTCATTTGTAATCTAACAAAGCAACGATTTCTTCAAAATATTATTGTATTCGATTCGATATGAAAATATGTTGAAAAATGATGATACATAGATACGTACAAGAAATACGTTTTATCTAGCACGATCGATCGATTAATTACAAATTGCTCGAAATTAGGGACGCGACGAATCTTGACACGATTCTTCCATTATCTCGGTGTCGATACGTTATCGCTAATCACAATCGCGCTTTGTACCTTTCGACGGAACGACGAAACTTTTTCGACGGTGAGTAATACTTCTTCACATCCAAAATAAATTCCACGAATAGCTACTTTTTGAACTTCGGGCGGTGGAACACCTTTGATGGGCGCCGGTGTTCGATAACGATTCTCATTGCCGAAATATTTGGCCATATCACTTTTCACCAGAATTCAGTTCAGACAGTCGTATTCTTCAATCGACATCGAAATGTTTAAGAAAATATTATTACTTGTATGCGTTATTTTCTGTGATACTAAGACTGTGTTTGAAAATACCAAATACGTGGATATCAGAGAATATCCTTACCACGTAAGTTAAAATATCACCTCTTACCTTTATATTCAGAGATATTCAAAGAATGTCGTGCAAATCATCAAATTTAATACAATCGAATAACCGGGGGACAAAAAAAAATCGGCGACATGGAAAAACAGAATTTAAAACTCATGGATCGTGGTGTACCACACGACCAACTGACAGATATTTGTTGAATTCAGGTGTCCATCGAGAAACACGGGATTCATGCGTGCAGCGGTGCACTGGTGCACGAATCGTGGATCGTAACCGTTGCGTCCTGCGTTTTTCGGTGAGTATCTTTCGCGGAATTCGCGTTGTTGCATCGAGCAAATTGCATCAACGCGAACAAGAGAACAAACAACAAAACGTAATTGCTTACAGGACAGACCCGTCCACGGTGACCGTGCGAGTGCGTACATCCACCCTTTCCACCGGCGGAGATGAATTGAAAGTGAGCAACGTTGTTGTACACGAAAATTTTAATGAATACGTGTTACTCAATGACATCGCCCTAATAAAGGTATGCATATTTTTTAATTTTCCTATACTGTACCTATTTATCCTGTTCTCAGTCTCATTTTTGTGAATCGTCTTTTTGTACACCAAATATCGGTAATAAAAAAGAACTCGATCAGTCCGTTATAACGAAATCTGTTGGAACGTAGCTGAAAATTCCTGTACAATTCGGAGAGAAATTGCTGCCAATCGGAGTACCAGAAAACGAGGACTACGAACTCGATTATGGAACGATGTGTTTCGTGACAGGCTGGAAGCAGACGCTGGTAAGTGCCGTTTGTGGTATTATTAATAAAATAAAACCGCTGTCGTTTTATCGGAAAAAATGACAGGAAGCACGAACACCATTCAGCAATTATCCGAATACATTTTATAATTCATCAACGTACAGTTTAACACGTGTGTACGTGTTCTTATCCGACGAGAAATAAAATGAAAAAATCGTGAAATATGATCGAAACGTGTTACCATTTCAATGTAACGTCATCCATTTTATACCCCGTAACAATTATCTTTCTGTGTTATCGTGCGATCATTAAAACGCAGGCACGATTACTATTCACTTTAATCGGGATATCGGATTCAATTTTAGTCTGGATACGAAAACTAGATATCTATATTCGAGAACCGAGCGCTTACACATTTTACGTGGACCAATTTTCGATTGTACAAAAAAAAAGGGATGAACAGGTGTGCAGAGTGTAACAGGGATTCCAATTTCGGGACGAAATTGTGCGAACGATCTCTGACGACGTTTCGAAAATTAAACTAGAAAAAAAATTAGATAAATATAAGAGTATCAGAGCTCTTAGACTAATAGAAAAATTATTTTCAGCCCGGTCCAGCGGAATCTCGACTTTCAGTGACGACAGTGCCTTTAGTGAATCGGAGTAGCTGCGTTTCAAAAATGCCCCCCTACCAACCTGTCCTCCAGAGTATGCTTTGCGCGGGCAACATGACTCAGGGGGTGGAGACGTGTCAGGTAAGACGGAGACGAGAAAATTGAGGGATGAAACGAGGCTCGCGGAGAGGAAAAGGGAGAACGGTGTGCATTCGTGAGCCACGACAACCCTGCGAACACTTAAGATCCTGAAGCGTCTGCCGAGGAGATTCGTCGACCTCGTCGCGGGTGACGCCACTCGACGCGAGCGTCGCTCAGTGCACTGCACTCGACGCTTCTCAGGGTGTACGCGTTACCAGACCGTTTTAGTGTCAGCTACAACTGTTTTAGGAACAATACTAACCTCGGCACCCAAAAACTCGACGTATACGCGTGTACGTGGCAGGCGAACTAGAAATCGTGCCAGTCGAAGCTTTGACAACTCTATGATTAAGAAAATGAATCACTCTGATCGTGGATTCGGTAGATAAGAGGTTCCTAGGGGAATTAATCGCTAAATGGATATGCGATTGAGAAAGGAGGTTAATCGTTGGGTCTGAAAATCGAATTTTAATTGAGAACGATTAGTTTCGATTTGAGATAATTCGGATGTTCTAGATTTTGATAAAAATTTTCATTTTATAAAAATCTGATCTTATATTACACGTTTCATTATAGTAAAAACAATGTGATTGGTACTACCTTTTAAATTCGATTTCAATGTGTATTCAAATTTTTGGAATTCTATTATTGCCAGTTGTTTGTCTATTAGCAGGCAATCATTCTCAGCATTCGAGCGCTCGATTCGATTCGATTCGATTTCATTCGCGAGTAACGGCCTTTGTCCTCGCCTCGTAATAACTTGCTCGCCTCGATAATGAAACGCGTGACGCCGGCAGCGAGCAGAAAAATGTGAAACGAATAAACGAATAATTACAGGGCCCGTTGACGCGATTCTGATTGCCTTTTACACGTGCTTGGCCGAACAATTAAACGGCAATCCCGTTGAAACGGGACTAACTCGATCGTCGAGTCGGCTGCATCGATTTCACACGCTTCGGACGTGTAATATGCTTGACTCTGGACTGCAATTCGAAGAAATCAATTCCCGATGAGTGGAATATTAAATACGTTGAACGATGCACGAACATCTTGATACATCTCTCTTTCATCGAAGATTCTCTTCCCGAAGTGGAGCATCAAATGTATAGAAACGATTAATGAAATCATTACGCCAATATTTGCCATCGTTTCCTTTTTCTGTCTGAAACGTCGTTCGCTCAGAAAAGGCACAAAAGATTCGTCGCGTTATAAGGAACGTTTGAATACGGACGGCTGAATAAAAGCTGAACATTATTCATCGAACATAATAGAAAATTGTCATAAAGCGCGGAGATTCCTACACGTTCCATCGTTATCATAATAACGATCAAATTCGTCGGGACTGTACAAAGAACGGTAGCTTTCGGTCGAGTCATCGTTGCCAATAGATTTCAATCTTTCCCTTTACTCTATTTTTCATTATTGTCAGTGTATCTTACTAAAAATATAGAGGAATTTATTTTCTAATTCCTTTCGACTTCTACACGATTCCTCTAGGCGAATTAAAATTTTATTTTCAAAGTAATTAGTATCAAACGTTAGAGAGATAAATTCGCAGATCGGTAATGCATTAGCAAATCAAAGGAAGAGAGACTGCAAGTAATCACTGAAACTGTCAACCCTCGTCTGCTTGCAGGGTGATCCCGGTGCTCCGCTGATGGAAGGCCAGACGCTGATTGGTGTTCTATCCTATGGATTAGGGTGTAAAACTATGATACATCCAGCCGTGTATGTTCGTGTCAGCAGTTACCTAACGTGGATCTCGACGAACACCGACGTCCACTATACACGAGTAACAAGAAAATTTTCATCCAAGAAAACTTTACCGCACTAAAATCAAACAATTTCTACCCTTAAAATTCGAATAAAAAAGAATTCCAGGAAATTATCATCCCCTTTATTTCGAAATCGAACGAGCAATAGGTTTTGTATCAATTATAATCCCAATTATAAATCGCAAATTAAAGCATCGAACGATTATCGATCGTCGCGCGAACTAATTAGCGGTTTAATAGAACGCATACCTTATTACGAACGATAAAATACCGAACCGAGCGAGTTGTCAATTATCTCTTTTAGCCTGTACCAGCTTGTTCATTAACAGGTTAATGATATTTTTTCGCGTTCAATGTGCGACTAAATAGCAGATGCTTTTGATCAGATATAATCGGCTCAATTATAGGACCACTTGTTACGTTCGTACATCAGAATCAGCTCGTTATCCGCCTGCCTCGTTTTAATAACCAAACGAGCAGGATTAAAAAACAAATGCTCCAATTTTCTCGTGTTTATTTCTCTCGAAAGCGTCATTGTAACGTTAAATAATCACGGTGATCACAGTATTTTTATTCGTATACTATTCCGTGCGGAAATATTTGCACAATTTAATTATGTGTCGCGTAGGGATAAATTAAAACGTTTTAGAGCTTGTACGTTCAGTCTGGTAATTAAAGAGGAATGATTTAGAGTCCGGTTTTCTCAGTGATCCAACTTCGAAGAGCCGTGATACTTGTGTAAACGCCCGGATAGGTTGGTCTTGCACATCCGAAACCCCACGACACGATTCCGATTAGTTTGTCATATTGCACCAGGGGTCCTCCACTATCACCCTGTGGACGAAAATTTAAACAATATAAAGTTACATAATAGGAAAAATATTATCGTCATTGAATTGTTTGGATCTGGATCGACCAATGTTTCGGAAACAAAGGTATTGCGAAGATTACACAAACACCGATGGAAGGGGTTGAACGGTGAGGAACTTTCTCTCTTAAAGGAAAGCGCAAATGGATATACGTTTCTTCAATTTTAAAACATTTAACGTTTACCAAGGAACGGGAAACGTTAACTTTACTTCTATTAACTTCCATTCGCTGCTCAGCTCAAGCAGTGAAGTTTCTCCAGTCTATTCAAAGATACACATACCTCTCCATGTTTCAGTGAAAACTTGAACGGTTCAGAGGCTATGTCTTAGAATACGTATGTACAAGAAGTAATAGTAGATTTGAAAACAGAGAAAATTGAAGATAAAGCTTCGAGAAAGATATTTTTAATTTCACTAATCACTCCACATTTTCGAAATATAAAAAACTGCAAAATGGAAACTGCTTTCCAAGCAGAGATCTTAATACAGATTTCAAAGTTCCATAAAAATCGACGTGTATCATTTACCAAACGTTCTCGTTGAATGACGACATTCGTTTCGTGGTAAAAAAAAAACAATGCAAAGTGAACGTACAAAGTTGAATTTAATGGCGCGATTAAAAAAAGATTAACCGCACGCTCGAGTCGTTGAAGGAACAATTAGCGAGAGTAATTACCTGACACGCATCCTTGCCTCCGAGGTTTACGTAACCGGCGCAAATCATTCTCGAAGTGATCGGTCGGGTCACGTATAATTCGGAGCATTCTGAATTAGAAACCAGCGGTACCTCGACTTTACGTAACTGATCGGTCAACGGTCCGTCACTTCTCAAAACTCCCCAACCGGTGACCACCGCCTTGCTACCGGCGGTATAATGATCGGCTATCGGTGCCAGCAGAATCGGTCTCACCCATGAACTGTACACCAGCGGCTTTTCCAACTGAAATTGTAATTGGTTTCAACGCTGCCAACCGGCTAGCTTGTGCATTGCGGAATTGATTGTGAAACGATAATTGAATTCTTCGGCTTTGTTCCACCGGGAGACCCGTGTCCCGTTGATAAATAAACTCGACGCCGATTGACGTTCCGTTTGCTCTGAATCGATTGAAAGTTTCTTTGAGACCGTGCAATGATTTGTTCTTTCCTTTGATTCTTGTTTTTCGGCTGTTCCAATTGACCGGTATGTGTTTGTACAAAATTTCATTCTACTGCGAACGGGTACGGTTTTCATGGATCAACGCGGTAATTAACACTTTGATGACTTTGAATCATTTTTAAGATTCGATGCACTTTGCACCGGTGATCTCGAAATATTTTTAAATATAAAAATTTCAAGGTAAACTAGAATGAATTTAATTATGAAAAATAAATATGTAACTTACCCGAACCAAAGCAATGTCGTAATCCGCGTTTCTTCTCATGTAATTATCATGGCTGATGATTTGTTTGGCGAAGACAACGATTCCATCGTCTCTGAGGTCCGAAGTGCCAGCTTTTATCGAAACGAATCGAATGAATTTCCTGAAACAATAGAACACTGGTTAGTGAAGGGGTGAAGACTAATTACACTTGATAATGAAGAAAGAAGTGTGGGGTACGTTTGAACGCAATGGGCCGCAGTGATGACCCATTCCTCGCTGATAATTGCTCCTCCACATATGTGACGATTGTTAAATCGCAGAGATACCTGTAAATTTAATGGCGTGTCAAAAACCACGTTGTATAATCGATGCAATATTGAAGAAAAACTGTTTTACATATTTCTGCTCGAGAGATTTGAACCAGTCTTCACCAGTTGCTCGAATCGTTTAGAATACTTACTTGATACGGATGTTCATCGATACTCGCTGGCTGGCCTCCAACAATACGGCCCTCATCAACTGGAAAAAATCAATATTTGAAATTATATTTCCACCTGCATGCTCGTTGAAAAACTACTAATTAAGCAGTAACGTTGCTCGACGAACGTCCCCCAGATTTAATGATCTTCTTTAAAATCAATCGAACGAACACAGAAAAGATCGTTGTTGAAATTTCTCTCTGACGAATCAAAAATTGAACAAACAATTGAAATGTGACGGACAAATAATTCCATGTTGAATGATTCAAATAAAATAACACGATTATCAATGAATAATCTTAATAATGGATCTGTTATTAAAATCTGTACTTTGTTAAAATATGACACCTATGCATTATTAACAGAAGCATCATCTGTTATTGGTATTACGAGTATAATTGAGTGATCGGAGAAAATAAAAGGTTTTAGCAATAAATTAATAGTAATTATGTCAATGTGTAATATGAAATGGCAAATTGAAAGTATAAGTCGAGAAATTAAGACTAACGTTACAAATTTAATTCAATCGAATAAGTAGAATACAAAAATAGATAGAAACGTTTGTATACCATTAAAATTTCTACTTTCTACTTTCTACTTTTGAGGTAAATATACAATTAACACGTTAAGGACTGTAGTAGAAACGTTCTACTTATTACTTTCGGAAATTAATATAGCACTAATGATATTTACAGTTTTCTTTCAATTATTCAATTGTAATAAATTTATGATATTCAAATGTGTCAACCTCTGTCCTTCCAAAAAATATATTAACAGTAATATATAAAATTTAGCTTGCGTTACAAATAAATATACATTTTCTCTGAACAAAGAGGATTTCTTGAAAAAGTCGAGCAGTATAGAGTTTAATAGAATATTTTCCTCGTTAAAATCAATTGAAACGTTTCCATTGAACGAGGCGTTTGAAAGGCCAAGTGTACGTACGTTGGAACAAAAAATACTGCGACAATGTGAACGGAGCGAGTAGCAATAACAAGAACGGTAAGCAGGTATACATGGCGGGAAGTTGGCGAAAGGACTAGCTGTTCGACACGAGGCTCGCCCTTCTTTTATTTCGATATTCGGGTTAATTGTCGTTCGTATCAATTTAGCCGAACACGAGAAAAATTTCCGATCCAGGAAAGTCTCGAGACCGTCGACCTAGATTCCGCACGGATTACGTAAAAAGGAGCAAGACTAAAATATAACTTCAACACCGCCAGCTCGCGATAACATCGTTCCTTCGGTACGAACCAATTAAGTTGAATTTCTTTTTTTTCTTCTCAATCGTTGTCCCTGCGACCGTTGTAACGAGCACGAACTCGTGCCCTGTCGAAGAACGAGAGGGCAAAAAGAAACACGGTTTCGGAATCGCATTGTACGTAAAAAAAAATTGGTTACGAATAATTGAAAGTATTCCCACGGGATTTCGCAAATTAGCACACTTCTTATATAAATGTCATTAATAACGAGGATACTTTTTGCCCTTTGATTCTTAATTCTTCGAAGTGTTATCAGATAGAGATAGCGTTTCTTGGTATTTTGATAAATAGAAGTTATCAGAGATATTGAGAATGAATTATCTCGTATAATGATTAAATTTGGAATTACTAATATAAAAACAAATTGGGAAATTTTGTTTTTCCCAATTGTCCGAGTATCTATGTTGAATTTAAAGATGTCACGTTCGTCTTGATTCTTAGCAACGTAAAAGGGCCAGTTAAACTCTGTTGAAATCGTTGCTGGTTCTCATTACGAGACGAGAAGATGCCGATCAACGGCGTCACGTACAATGTCGACGCTCGTTTCAGCAGCCCTTTACGAGTCAGCCACCTGTGCAAAGCTGCAAAACCATCTATGCAATGGCGCGCCAACGAGAATACCCGTGGCACGATCGAGTCAGCTGTAAAATTAATAATTCCACGTGACAAAGAGGAGGTGAGAACGTGGAAACGAGAAACTTAACTTCGAATACGTGCACACAAGAAGCTGTTTACCTTATCATTAGCGAGCTTCACGTTGAAAATATACTTCTTTCATCGTGTTTCTATCATATTCCCTTTTTATTTCTTTTCTATTCAGCTGGGTTCAATTTGTCATAACTAGTAACAAAAATTTACTATGGTACAAAAATTTTATTATAATTTTCACATCTTTTTCAAGTGAATCCTCGATCGCTATATCTCTTTCATCGTGTTTTGTATCCAATTATTTAAACTGGATACCCGCGTGTACACCCCATAATTTCCACGATTTGTGCATCCATCACCCCAGGAAACGATACCGATCTGAACGCCATTGAAAACCAGTGGACCTCCGGAATCACCCTATGTTATACGCAAAAAAAATTGTTACAATTATTATGTTCGTTTCAGAAAAAGCGTCGCTACATTTAACAGAACATTTACCTGGCATACATTCATGTCCCCGTTTAAACTACTAGCACAGATCATCCTCTCCGTTACACCAGGTTTCAAATTAGCATACTTTTTCTTGCACTCTGCCCAATTAATCGTAGGCACGGTAGCAACTTGCAGAGTGCTCGACATCCCTCCGCCAGGCTGCAAGTAGCTGCATATTATGCAACTGACCAGACGATGCAGAAGCGCGCAGGATGTCTGCGGAGCGTGCATCGTTTCGAGACAGTGCAAACTCGATGAATGTTTACTATGACCACCGAACATTGTCGACCGATCGACAAACGAACGTTGATGTTTGCACGAGTTGGCAATAGGTAATCAGACTCGGGGAACGTCACCGTTGACCGAAGCCATCGACTCGGCCATCGTCAAACGCAAAGTTTACCGGTGCAACAGCTGTCAAAACGATGCACAGGAACACGGTTGACAAGAACTTACCACTAGCCGACCCCATCCTGTTACCACCGCTTTACTTCCGTCCGGCACCACTGTCGAAGCATCTGCCAGCTTAATCGGTTTCACGTTCTTTATAGGGTTTGGAAGCTGTGAACACGCATCGTTGCCTACTTATGTTTACCAAATTAAAATATTATCCGTATACTACCTTTAACAAAGCAATGTCGTAATCCAAAGTATTTTTATCGAACTGAGGAGGCCATATGAACTTAACGCCACCGATCAATTCGCCACTCTTCTCGCTATAAGTACTCTTCACGCGAACTGTCACATCCTGAAATAATTCACTGAAAATTGTTTCGGTAATTAATAATTGATCGTTTCGGTGCCGTCGGAGTCTCGTAACTCGGTTTACATTTACTTATAGACACAATGCGCCGCTGTTAACACGAAGTTTTCGCTGATTATGGATCCACCGCATGCATGTTTGCCTCCGACTTGAATAGACACCTGTTACAGAGACTCTGTTTAGGATACGTGTTATTTTGTTTGTACACGCTGAAACGTTGTTTCTAACTTTCATTCGCATGGACAGTCCCCATACGATCGCGATAAAATCATTGTAAATCTGCGATTGTCTTACTTGATACGGGTACTTGTCGATCGTCGTGTTTTCTCCTCCAATGATCCTAGGTCCGAGGCTGTAGCTGTACACGTACCAGCTGGCCGAGAGCAACACCAACAGTTGCCACATGGTTCACGGTGAAGTGTTTAATGACTTACCATCTACACTTCTTTAAAGGTGGAACAGCTACACCAATTACCGCGAAATTGATAAGATCACAGATTTGATATCAGTACTGAAATAGTCTGATTACAGCATACTAATAGATACGTCATACGTCGTCGAGACAAGATAACCACGCTTCCGGTCAGACTCATCTCGTATCATTTATTTATCAATTTTTATTATTTACAAATTGTTCATATGTTGAGTAGTTTAAAGAATTCGAAAGATGTGAATAGTTGTCTCAATCGATTTGCGTTCGTACACTTCTATTATAACGATCACGATAAAAATGATAAAAATGATAAAAATGATAGAAATACGTGTTGTTTACAAAAATAATTTATCATAATCTATGAGAGTATTTTCTTTAGAAAAGGCAGATGGTTTCGAGCGTTGAAGTTAACAAATGTAATGATTTGTTTAAGGTACAGCAACTTACGTGAAACGATGTTTCTCTGGGAAGTCCGGATAGACGTTTCATCCCTCTCGTACTCCAACTTGCTGCCAGCTTAATTCGTCGTAATCTCTTCGAAGTTTCCAACTCCTAATGCTTAGTTTCTACCGCGACGCACTACGCCTAGAGCTTAACACGTACAATACACAACGCGCGAACACGCTTCGCGTTTCTTCTATGTTCGATCGTTTCCAAAATTTCAGCTGATTATAATTCATGGAATTTATACGAGTCTGTACGCGTGTTTTTCGCTAGAAATTTTTATCCGATTTCTCGCATTTTTGTGCAACGAGATAGCGATGCATTTTTGAGAAACTGAATGCTGCAACTATTAGAGGAGAAGATACTCTATTGCTAGAATATCATTCCTAGGAATTATTTCCTTGATATTCGGAGTATTACGGAAATTGCTTCGATCAATTCCGCTTTCGTCAGTTTCGAAAGTTGAAGAAATCCATTCGGGGCTACAGAATTGCGACAGATAAATAATGCAATTCTGTTCATCATTGAAACGCTTAATCGTCCCGCGAGAGTGTCACGCAATCGCTGATAAAAAATAGATAACTCGTCGTATCGATGCGATACGATTATTGAAATTACGGTGAATGGGCGCGAAGCGACGTTTATCCAAATTTATAGCGGGTTCGCGTCCACGCCGCGTCGCGAATGCACATTCTGCAGGAATTCCAGCGTTCATTCGCGTCTCGTGAAATATTTTCGCCATACTTGTTGGCAAAGGCCAGATGAATACCGACACGTTGGTCGCAACCAAATAAAATACGCCGACGTGTTACAAAAATCATCGCGATAATTTTTGCTCATCGAAAAACGACGGGAAATTCTTGTCCACGTTCGTTCGTATTTCGTTTCGCGAGTTAATGATAATTAGCTTCAAACCGTAAAATCCGCTATTACATCGCGTTTTAAACACGATCTTCTCGCTCGGGAACGTGCTGCTGATGTTAATGATAACATTCACTTTTGACCCTCAATTACCATTAATGATTGATTAGACATGTTTTCAATTGATGAAAAAATTGCTCCCAAGCTGAATAATTTAAATTTTGGAAATTTGTAACATTTCAACTTTCAGTACCTTTAGTGAATGGCTACAGTCGCAGTGCAAACGAGTGATATTGAATGCGTCTTTTTTTTCGTTTTCGATCAAATTTTTGCATGTGGTTTTATTTACTATTCTCGCAGATTTTTGCAGCTGCCAGATTTACATTTCTGTGTTGAAAATTTCATGTTTTTTCAAAAAATTAAAAATTTCGATACTTATAATTTAAATATGTGCTACATACGTAGTAAAATTTTAAGTTGGCAATTTCAAAATATTATTTTTCAAAAGGTCATCTACTTGAGTGTTAAATTAACATGCAAATAACATATTTGGAAAGAGAAAATTATACACGCAGTAATATATTTGCAAATAACGATTATGCATATAATAATTTTATTAAATGACCTTGTTGACATTTGGAAGCGATATTAATCAATAACAAATTTGTGGAGCAAACATTGGTTGAAAATATTAATCGTGTCTTATATTATATGTATATGGTTTTCGTAGAAGTTTCGTGAGTTCATTATCGTTAATTTAATTGATTATCTCATACCCTTAATAAAACAATAAATTATTTATAAAGAATAGATATGTCAATTAAGATGAGTTATTTATTTTCTTCATTAAAGATAAGAAATTTTACCTCAGTCATTGGCAGATTACGTTTAATCAAAAAGTTAACGAAAAATAACAGCAAAAATTATCAAAACTGTTTAACATCGAAATCGTCGATAGGTAATTTATATTTTAATGCGTACGAGCGAAAATCAACAAGAGATTTTCAACAGATCCGTGATGTATGTTAATTTGATAATAAATATCACGTTACTTGGTCGCGGTGATGAGCTGAACACGTTTCTCTGCCCTGCCGTTAACAAACGACACAACATTTATCATCCGCTTACCATATACACGGCACGTAATTAAAATTATTTTTCGACCCAACACGGTTCTCACGCCACCGGCTAATTAATTCGATGAATTTCGACAAAAAACGGCTCTTCAACTGGGAACAATGAAATCACGGCTGCGTTACGTATTAAATGAGAGTAGAGTTTATTAATTCGATATTTGCACGAATCAATGGCTATGCAACGAACAATGAGCTTCAATACGCATCGAGCTACTTTCCACGTGAAACTATTGTAATATTGAAAACAATTTTTCATATCGACGAGGTTCGTTTTGTTTAAACACAGACGAGACGATTTTACAAAATGATAAACAAAGTATTACTTGTACTTAAACGTGTCCAAAAATTCTATAAAAACGGATTCCAATAAAACATCAAATTTATGACCCATTGCAACACGGATGTGGATACTAAAGTTCCTTCGCCGTTATCTTAATAACTTGAGCCATTTTTTGACCACACGTGGAAAACATTTTACTGACGATGGTTCAGCCCTTAATTGCATAGTATTAGCAGCATTAACAGCTTCTCGATAAACGAAAGACGGACACGGTAATCGCTAAATCGCATTGTTTATGCAAACGTTACGTGGCGATTGCTTTATAAGGAAACACTCGGTACTTTTCATAATCAGAAAAGTAGTTACCATGTACTCGTCATTGTTGATGATCTTTGGCTTCTCGGTGCTCTGCACGGCTTCCGGATATGGTTTAAGTATAATAATATTGTGTTGAATTAAATTCATTCAATTACAAATGTAACACAATAATTTGCTAAACTTTGAAACTTTAGTAATTAAACAATTTTCAATTAACGTCAAACAATACATTGGCGAGTTCATCAAAGGAATTAAATTACCAAATAAAATACCTAGATTAAATTAACCAAAACCATGTATCGAGTATCTATATCGAACGTCCAAAATTGTACGTTTGTAGGGAATTATCAGAAACGAATCGTGCCGATGCAAGAGCAGGATTCACCAGGATCAAGGATCATCGGAGGAGCCCAAGCTGGCATAGAGGAATATCCATTTGCGGTTAGTACCACGCACGATACATCATCACGGTCGATTTGGCATTTAGAGAATCGTTACTTCCGGTTGCAGGTCTCGCTGCAGAATAATGGCACGTTTTTCGGACACGAAGTCGAGCATTTCTGCGGCGGTAGTATAATCGGTGAAAAGTGGATAATAACATCGGCTCAGTGTGCTCTCAGGCAAGATTAATACACCGTATTTTTACTCATCTATTCAATGGGATATCCCACTTTCCTTTTTCTATACTTTTTACAGGATACGGGTGAAGGGCTTTCACGTGAGAGCAGGGACGTCGTATTACTACGAGAACGGTGAGATTTTCCGAGTGAAAAGTGTGACGATACATCCAGCGTTTAACGAAAATATTTACGACTACGATGTTGGTCTCATCGAGGTAATATTTCAAATTCTATTTTTGTCTTTTGTAATAACAAATTACTACTGCGTGTATATTTCTTTCAGCTTGCTGATAGTATAAAATACGACAACATGAAGCAATCGATCAAATTACCTCAAAGTCACTCGATGATCGAGGATGGCGTGCAGGTGCAAGTCCTCGGTTGGGGTGCATCCAGGGTAAGAATTCAGAATTTTTCCTGTTATCCGCTTTGGAAATGTTCGAACGAGTTTGTTCAGTTGTTAGGTCCCGTGTCAGAGGAATTGTTACGTAGCACCATGCAGAAAATTAACAACGAGAACTGTCAGCAAGCCAGTGGAGGTGATATATTAACGAACAGGATGTTCTGTGCCTTGTCTAACGGTGCTGGTCCGTGTGTGGGTGATTCCGGTTCGCCTCTCATCTTTGAAAACATGTTATTCGGTGAGTTTTATGAATGAAAATTACATCTAAGAGCAGAAACACAGAAGATGATTTAATTCTAAGGTATAACTTCGTGGAGCCGATCTTGCAGCTCGAAATATCCAACGGCTTTCACAGCCACATCCGAAGTAAAGGATTGGATCACAGAAGTAACAGGTATTGCTTAAACCCTTACATATCCCCGGATGTAACGCGATCCAAGGTATAACATAGGGGTTGCAATATTTTCCACGTTACATCCTGTTGCATGTTTTACAAGGGTCTCAAAGCATTCCTGATTCTGTATCATCATACGTATCTTTATATCAGGTAGTTTCTTTTCTTAGATCCACTAGGATCTCAAAACGGTGTTATAGGAATAAATGAATAATATTGTAAAATCTAAGAATTAAATTTCTCGACGTGAATGGTTTTCATTTTTGATATAAATTTTATTTAGAATGTTATAAAATGCATGTTAGAAATATAGAAAATATATAATCAATTAATATACACCTGTCTGCGCTTGCTATTTAAATCCTTGCTGTATTCAACTGTAACGTGGACTGAAAACATCAATATTTCTCTTGATACAGTCGATGATGAGTAACTTCTTTTGTCGCTCAAAATGTGGGTCAAAAGTGACCCGATATCGAGGTTAGCGAGGGTTAAACATCCCGCATGTTGGAAAGAGTACAGCAGTCGTTGTACAGGAGCGAAAAATGTAGGAGATAAAATATCG